ACTCAATAAGTTCCCAAGACAGCATAGGCAAGTCCACCAGTGGCTAAGTTATCGTATATGTTGTGGCTTCTTGTCAGTTTCCTTGGCGATAGACGGGTTGAATTGAGTTTGTACATGATTTGCACAGCCATTGACATACTCGAATGGTGACATCGAGTACCATCTAGCTGTCTTTTAAGGAAGCATCTTCTGGTTGTGGTTTGCGTTGGCACAGAGGTGAATGAGTTGGGTATCGCATTTTACACATAATCCAGATATACACAAGCCATGGTATGAACATAACTGGCAGTGTCGAGCTCCGACATCAAAAGCCAAGACTGTTCCTTCAGTGGCTCATGCAACATGAGAAATGAAGTATAAGGCGACAAGCCAGAGAACTCCAAGTCGAGATTGAAAACCATTATTCTATCACGGACATATTAGTACAGGGTAGTCGGCTTCACATTAGAAGACCCCACGCTTACAAGTAATTCGACCCCACATCCCATGAGCCCCGCGCCCACCATACGCTGCCTGCCTAGCGCTCCAGCCTCACCTTGAACTAAGCTCCGATGCTCCATCTTGAACTCATCGACATATCACTTGCACAAGCTGCGACTATCAACGTAGAGTATTTCCTGGGTCCGAGCCCCGACCGGAGGGTATAATAGAGCGCAGGAAATTACGGACTTTCACTACAGTCACTACTTTCCGCTTCTCTCCGTGCTGTGACGTACTTGATATCCGTCGTCTACCGCCCGAGGCTGTAGCCTCAACCACAACACATCATGGAGCAGACGAAGGCTCTTAACGCGCTGGAGGTATGCATAACTGGGAAAAATGAGATGTAAACAGACTGACAACTGCAATAGCCATTCATCGCTCTCTCCAAATCAGCTACATCTCCTCGCGCAGCTGCCGATCTCGTCACCAGAGCTACATCAGCACCAAACACATTCCTCTTCAGTGATCTCTTACAAACACGCGCCATCCAAAACCTCGCCGACTCAGAGTTCGCTTCGCATCTCAAACTTCTCCAGATCTTCTCCTATGGGACATACTCGTCATACAAAACGACAGAAGGCCTACCAGCGCTTGCCGAAGTACAGGCAACTAAGCTACGGCAGCTATCGCTTCTATCACTGGTCCGAGATCGACAGAACCTCTCCTATGCCGCGCTACAGGAAGCTCTGGATCTACCTGGAGCACGTGAGGTAGAGGCCTTGGTGATTTCCGCGGTTTACGCTGGTCTACTTCACGCCACACTTGACCCAGCTCGTGCAGTCGTGCAGGTCACCAGTGTTGCGCCTCTACGTGATCTCGCCCCTGGAGCGATACCTGACATGGCCGCTGCACTGAAGAAATGGTCTGACCGCTGCACCACCACCCTCGAAGGCCTTGATCTTCAGATCAAGGAGATCCGAACAACCGCCGCAGCTCGACAGCGTGAGCAGCGCCTGGCGGACGAGAAGTTACAGCAGTTAATCAACGAACAACAAGAGGGAATGGGACCACGCAAGTACGATCTGCCAAACATGACACGGGACCTGGGTAGACGGGGGTTTAACAAGCGATCAGTCATGGATACAGGTAATTTGGTAGACAACGACAGTATGGATGTCGACGAGGCCGAAGAGGAGAAGAAACGAGCAAATAAGCGCAAGCTTTGAAGACAGTATCCCTTTTGAGTCAGGAGAACCAAAAGTCAAGCTCGCAACATGTATCACGAAGAACCATGACATAATAGACGATACGGCGCCTTTTATTAGCCCTACATCGGTACAGAATGCCGCCCTGAGACTTGTACTAATTCTAATGACCTGTCAAGGTCACAAATAAGAAGGAAAAACGCATGGCCGGAAATGACTCAAGATCATGTTCCAGACCGGGAATAGCTAAATTATAAAGAAGACCTGGTTGATAAACAGTAGATTTCCGTACGCCAGCCTCAAGAAAACAACGCCCGAGCTCAATCGAGAGACTGGGATAGTATTGTCGCTTAATGAAGGCCCCTGATCATTACAGTCGTGAGTATTGATATGATGTCCAAAGAGATTCTCGCGGAGATGGCTTTTTCTTTTAATGGGAATTTGAAAGGCCAGTAATGGCCGGCATTAGTGACCGCGGTTGAATGTGAAAAGAATAGTTGCTTAGAGACGCTTTCCCGGAACAAGAATGAAGAGAACACAGAGTGCAGCATCAATGAGAACAGTCACTGCGAGGACCATGATAGCACGCTTGGCGATGAGCTTGCGAACGTAGGGTTCACGAATGCGAGAGAAGTTGAAGGGGGTGTACTCGCTGTAACCAACTAGGGCCATGATAGGGTCCAGAGAGTATTGGTAAGACGCAAGGAAATAGACACCGACGGTGAATGGAAGGATGAGCTATTTAGAGTCAGTGAGTTTTCGAGAGCTCCCTTGAATGAGGCACTTACCCAGCATCTGGTTGCACGAGAGTAGTCAAGGAAAATGAGAACAAACGCAGCCCAGAGGGCGGCAAACATGGCAATAAGACCGAGGATAAGTCGCATGATGAGAGTAGGTGGGATAAGGTTGCCCAGAGCCTTCATTCGAAGGAAGCCTGGGAAAGCATCACGCTCCATAGCCTGGAAGACATAGTCCTTGGCAACATCAAATACCTCGGGATCGTCGCGGCCATACTCTTCGATGGCAGTAGTGACCTCTGCGGTAATAGAACCTGGGAGGGTGATTTCTCGCTCGGCTCCAGGAAGGAGGAAAGTGTAGAGAATTTTCTCAGCTGAGGCTCGGATGTCCTGTCGCGCAACGGTATGAGCGGGCGAGTTGGATTCGGTAGTGACTTCGTGAGAGTTGCTGAACTGAGGGCTGGGTCTAACAGGCGCAGAGGCACTCTGAGGTGAATCGTGACTTTGGTCCTCTCTAAGGAATGCAGACATTTGCGCATCTTGGTTCTTCTCCTTCTCAGTCGCATACATGGACGGACCTGCCGTTCTAGGTTCCAACTCGCCAATATTCTCGAGGATAGCTGAAGATCGTTTTGATTGTGCTTCGGGAGTGCCAATAAGGACGGATCGTCGAAGTTCGCGAACATAATGTCGGCAGAGCGACATGTGCTGGGCAACATCGAGCCTGGCTATGTCAGCTAAGCTCTCTGGAAAGCCAATCCCGCATGAACCTACCAGAAGTCGAGATAATCCACCGAGCGTTGCTGATCGCGCATGTAGATATAGAACGAGAAAAGGTCGACGGGAGGGAGAGTGCGACGACTCAAGACCTCAAAGAGCGTAGGCAGTCGGTTTCTCGTCATGTCAGGCTGAGGCGACGGCGATGCCATCGTGGTAACAGGTTCGTGTTCGGCCATGTCGGGCGAACGTATTATACTTGTCGATAAGGTGAGAGTGAATGTTAAAATGAAAGAGGCGTTTCTGGCGCGCGGAGCAACTGCCGGGAAGCTTTATGGAAGGGCCCGGGTACGCGAAGTTCCCCTGATTACGACCGACGACAGGCCGCTAAGTCTTGTCGAAGCAACCGCGCACTCTCCTAAGCGAAGCAGTCTCCGAATGAGAGAAATGAGACGCTTATGCGCAAAGGATGGCGATATTTGCGGTGCCTTGAAATCAATTGCCCCAAGCTGGAATGATGGAATCGTTATGCAGCAACGGCCAAGATTGGATGCAATGCTTGCTTCGCGGTAAACACCACTGGAGGCTAAACGTGGACCATACGACGCCTCTAGCCCATCTGGGGTTAGCTGTTTGTCCGAACTGTGAATCGACCGCTATCACGTGAGAGCATGGTGGGCCATCAGGGCTGCGCTCTAATTGGTTCGCCAGGCCCACAGAGTGCCTGCCGATTTCGAGGGCTACGCACAAAGATTTTTGGCAATTACTCCAGCTACTTCATCACACCTTCCTAACGACCAATCTCGAAGAGACGAGCCGCAGGTACGACCAATATTCCCTCCTCTCCTCCCTCGAAGTCCTTTTTCTCTCAAGAGACTACGAGCACGAGCGACTCATTCTTTTATCAACTTCGTCGACCGAAGGACTAACCCTCATATTTCCAGCCATGTCGTCCAAGAAGCCCTCCGGCAAGACTCAGCGCTCCGCCATCGCGGATGTCGTCGCCCGCGAGTACACCATCCACATGCACAAGCGAGTACGTTGCTTCGCCAAATAATAGCTCGAGAACCGGAGCTTCAAGTGTATGGGTTAAATGCTAACGAGCAAAAGCTCCATGGTGTCACCTTCAAGAAGAGGGCTCCCCGTGCTATCAAGGAGATCAAGGCCTTTGCCACCAAGTCCATGGTACGACTATCCATCCCATGAGCCTGATGTCGAATGCGAAGCAATTGCAGAGGGCAAAGTTGTCAAAATGAACCACACGTGCTAACCTTCACGATAGGGTACCTCTGATGTCCGCATCGACCCCCAGTTGAACAAGAAGGTCTGGGAGCAGGGTATCAAGGGTGTTGACTACCGACTCCGAGTGCGAATTTCCCGACGACGAAACGACGAGGAGGGTGCCAAGGAGAAGCTGTACAGCTACGTCCAGGCTGTGAACGTCAAGAACCCCAAGGGTCTTGCCACAGTCGTTGTTGAGGAATAAATATAAAAAGTTTCTCTTGGGACAGGTTCTATGGTGGCATGGCATTTGGAGTTGCATTCGGCATTCTGGCTTTTGACGCTGAATATACACAGAGGGAAAAAATGTGATCAAAGCTTGAAGTCAACACAAACGACAATCGGTGCCTCGGCGTGAAGTGGTCTATGGACAAGGCTTTTTTTATGAGGGCGAAAATAATCATTTACGTTCTGACGTGATGATGCGAATGTTATGAGTCGTCGATTAGAGGGTCTGCTATCGACAATGGTGTACATGTTTCTGACCCTATCAAAATCCCCTCCCTTCGCTGTTAAACCAGCTGTGGAAATGCCATGCAATCCTGTAACCTACCAAGTCATCAAACCAAATTCCGTACACCTGGTACTCCTGTTCCTTTATACAATTATCAAAGCACCAACCCCTAGTAAAACCTAGTTATTCGTCCTCAACATCCCTGTGGCGTGCCAGGACCTTCTTCTGGAACTCCTCGGTATCCTTGTCCCACAGCTCGGCAGCCTCACCGTTGAGGGGTGAAGCACTGAGAATTTGTTAGTGAAAAGGTTATGGTCAATCTCGAAACTGTGTACGTACTTGTTGGGCTCGCCAAGCAAGCTTTGAAGGCTCAGCAGAACAGTTTGGATGTTGTAAGCAGCAGTCCACTTGTCCTTGAGAATGTCCAAGCAGATGCGGCCGGAGAAGTCGACATTAGGATGATAGATGGGTGTCTTGAATAGCACCGTAGGAGCGGCGTAAGGGTAGTTGGAGGGGAATGCAAAGCTGAGCTTGAAGGTCAACCCGGCGTAGGGGGTATCGTCGGGACCCTCGATGGTGGCAGTCCAAGCGAGGAGGTTTCCATCCGCGCCGGGGAAGGCAGAGACGCCGGGAGCGGGCGACGTCATGAGTTGCATCAGCTCGGTCTGCAGTCTGTCCAGAGTCAGCATCCGTAGCGACTATAATGTCTCGGGACGAGTATTCACCTCTTGGTCGTGCTTTGAGAGTCAGGGCCCTTGTGACCAGAGTTAAGCTTGGCGGCCTGGACACTGCCGGGAGCTGAGTTCTGGCTATCCTCCATGTTGTAGTCCATTGTGAGATGTCGATGCTGATGTTGTTTCCTCGAGTAAAACTGAGTATGAAGAGATGCTGACAGCCAAGAAAGCAACAGAAGAGTAGATGCTATTATAGGTTGCTTGGAGGGAGCGGTAGGGAATTGTTTATGTACAGTCAACAATTCCGCAATTGGAAAGAGGTGAAGGTGGACGAATGCAAGGGCGATTGAGGGAGACCAAAAGACGTTTGGCTGTGGCGTACACGGGAAGGGGTGAAAACGAATAGAGAGAAAGCCCGGGTTCTAAGTTGTCTTTAAAAGTGAGACGATGTGCAATATATTGTTTTGGATTACGACAGAACTGAATAAATGGAAGGGCAATGATTTCTCAACTCAAGCCTGAACAAAGGGCTCCAACTGTTTACCGCAGCAACCAGCGCGACTAGGGTCCAGGTGAATGAAACACCACAGCCAATGGTATTCAATACAAGGCAGCAGTGCTGAAACTGTAGGGCATGTTTGTGCTGTGAAAGGATGCACAGGGCGCAAAGTGACGCTATCTTTAGGGGACCTGGATCGGGGTCTCACAGCAACAAAAAAAAAAAACACTTTACGCGGTGATTTGAATAGACGCGGACCAACGCGTACAACTTCTGGACTTGAAGTATCAGGACGATATTCCTCCACTGAACGATTGGTTGTTGTTGAACAAGAATATGACTAGTAGCAACACAATCCAGATACCATCATAAATTCACCTACCTACCTTTACACAATGGTAAGCCGGACATTCCTTATTTAGCCCCTATCAATAGCGTCTACCAAGCTTTTCTCCAGTGACAGATCGTCAGTATCAAGGAGATTGTGAATGATCTACGGTCATACCTCTAGAGTTTCCCCCGACAGATCTTAGCTTCCCGATTCACTTTCGGTGACAAGTCTGAGCTGTCGCTGCTTTACTCTGAGCAGAGGTGATCAAGTCTGAGCACGACAGAACTCTCTTGCGCTTCGGTACGCATGGGTCGCGGCAGAAGGGATACCAAAGCGGAGAGCCTCTTAAGCTCTACGACTCCGTATCCCTTGCGGTCGGTGGGTTATGTCTGTTTCGTGGCTGTGATTCCTATTACGATGCTTGCCAGGGCGATACTTGTTGCAATTAGCTTCATGTTAGCAGCATATCGGCGTGTTGACTGCCGTCTTTCCATAGCTCATTTTCATAGGAAGCTGCATCGAAGACTTTTTCATTTATTCATCGAAGACGAAGACTACTTCTTCGTCCGGCCGGGCCGGCGTTTCTCCTGTTGCAGTTCCTCTGACAACGTGGTGTTTCTCTTTTTGCTTCCACAGCATGAATCATGTCATTCGTGATGTCTGTGCCAGATTCCCTTACTCCGGACGCATCTTGCGCCAGGGTATCAGACACCTAATCTAACATAGCCTTAATAACCTGGATCTGCTCCAGCACAGCTGACCGACTAGTACCGCCTTTAGACGATTTCGCCTCGACACTCGACTCGTACTCGAATGCCTCCGCAATGCCCGCTGTAAACCGCGGATCAATAGCTTGCAGTTGCTCCAGTGTCAGCTTGTCCATTGAAACCCCAGAGTTTTCAGACAGCGCAACAACACGTCCAGAGATATGGTGAGCTTCTCTGAACGGGCATCCATTTCGTACCAGCCACTCCGCGACATCAGTAGCTAGCATCGTTTTATCTAGAGCAGCCTGCATCCGCTCAGGTCGCACCTTTAGTGTAGAGATGACACCGTTAGCTATGCCAAGACTATCAGACACAGTCTCAACTGCATCAAGCATAGGTTCCCATCCCTCCTGGGCATCCTTATTATAGCAATATGGCAGGCCTTTCATAGTCTGCCAAGTGAATAGTTAGTAGCTGCTCTCCATACGCTCTTGGTCGCAAAGGCGGGGCAATCGCCTGAAATGGTTATCAAGACTCACCATCATCAACCCAGCCAGTTGACCGAAAGAACGCCCTGACTTGCCGCGCAAAAGCTCGCAACTATCGGGGTTATGTTTGTTTGGCATTAAAGAACTACCCGTACTGTATGCGTCGGCCAGTCGGAGGAAAGAGAATTCAGAGGATGAGTAAAGAATAAGGTCCTCAGCCCACCTGCTGATGTGGTTGGTGAACACGCTTGTGAAGATTAGGAAGTCGAGAATAAAATCCCTTTCAGCGCTCGTGTTCATAGAGTTCAAGGTGATTCCGCTGAAACCAAGCTCCTGAGCTATTGAGTCTCGATCAATTCCAAAGGGGTTGCCGGCCAGAGCGCCGCAGCCAAGTGGACTGAGGTTGACCCTTTCGAAAACTTGGCGGAGTCGCTCGAGATCTTGCTTGAACGAAGCGGTATGTGCCATCAGCCATTGGGCCCACCTAAATTAAGAAATAATATGAGTATTTGAGAGCGAAATGGAAGGGCGTGCTGATATACCTGATAGGTTGGGCGCGCTGGAGATGGGTGTATCCTGGCATGATGTAGTCGCTGCGGTTGTCAGTCAGTAAGGCGGCGATTCTGGCCAGAGGTGGGGCTGGACTTACATCTCAGACTCGGCGCGGGCGATAATGACCTTGATAAATGCGACAAGTTGGGCGTCGATCTCGCGGATTCGATCGCGTAGCCACATGCGCATATCGCAGACAACTTGCTCATTGCGGCTGCGCCCCGTGTGCAGCCTACCCGCGATGTCCTTGCCGATGACCTCCCCTAGGCGACGTTCATTTGCGGTGTGGATCTGGCCCATTATGTTAGCTTCTGAATGTCGAGTAGAATCGAGTGGCGTCTCACATCTTCGTCGTTCGGCATGATGGCGAAAGTTCCCTGCTTCCATTCCTCCATCACTTGGAGCAAACCACGCTCAATCGCCTGGAAGTCGTCCTCGCTAATAATGCCAGCCTTCGAGTTGGCCCGGGCAAAAGCGATCGATCCGAGGATGTCCTCCTTATAGAGAGCCTTATCGTAGTTGATGGAGGCATTATACTTATACATGAGAGGATCAATTGCACCTGCAACACCGTGTAGTCAGTATATAGCTATTCGAAGCTTGCTTTCCGGGGCATTCGAACCTGTGAACCGGCCTCCCCAGAGCATGTTAGCTGCTGGAGCGTCTGCCTTGTTCTCTGCCATGATGAGGTCTTTGCGAGTGGTGTTAATTCCGTTCGTTGCTTTCGTTATCGAGGTCAAGGGCGGGGGTTGTTGTTAAATGTCGAGAAAATTGTCGAGGGGCAGCCGATACCGGCTAAAAGTTATCGCGTATGCGGCATCGGACAAGAGCTTGGGACCCAATGAAGGTTACCCTGCGAAATAAGAGTCACACTGAGAACTTTAACGAATGCCTGGGTTGATTGAGCTTGTGTCTGTTGTCGTGAGTCAGACTCTCATCGGGCGCAATCAATTGGTTGGAGGCAAGAATCGCTGACGGTAAAAGCAGAACATTAATCAAGTGTTGAAAGAAAGAAACAAATACGCCAAACTCCCCGTCACTGACCAAACTGCCTGCGCCTCGCCCCTGGTCGCGTCCAACTGAATCCTAAACCTGTATGAAGTTAAGAAGCTATAGTGTAAATTTAAATTTGTATAGGTAAAAGGTAATAGGTTAGCATACAGCCTGTTAGAGGGAGAGGCGACATCGAGGTGATCAAAGGTGATGCTCAGTGATCAAGAGCAGTGGTGCTGACTAACCAGATCGGGCCGCTGGCCGTTTCGTTGCAGACTACGGAGTACCTACCTAGGTAGTCACAGTTACTCAATCTGCTGTGAATCGAGCTCGATCTTGTATGACTTCATTACCTAGACTCTTCCTAACTAACACAAACCAATGAATCAGTCACAATTAGACCCCCTACCAACGGATCTTCCCTTCCGAATCGTCTCCAAGACCGTGGGTCGAGGAGCATATGCCTCGTCAGTTTTACCCCATGTTTCACTCACGATAACCGAGATGTTCACTGCTGACCTCAACACAGCATCAAGAAAGCAATTCCCATAGATGCCCCAACGCCAATTTTTGCTGTAAAGCTCATCCACAAGGGTTATGCTGTTAAACATGGTCGCATTTCTACTAAGCAGTTGGCCATGGAGGTCTCGCTGCATTCACATATCGGCCAGCATCCCAACATTATCGAGTGGTTCGCTTCAGGAGAAGATGATATTTGGCGATGGATTGCCATGGAGTACGCAGAAGGTGGTGATCTTTTCGACAAGATTGAAGCTGATGTTGGTGTCCGCGAGGATATTGCCCAAGTTTACTTCGTTCAGCTCATCAGCGGCGTGAGCTTCATGCACTCCAAGGGCGTGGCACATCGTGATCTCAAGCCTGAGAATATTCTCCTCTCTCAGGATGGATCTTTAAAACTCGCGGACTTTGGTATGGCCACAATGTTTGAGTACAAAGGTCAGCGAAAGTTGAGCTCAACACTATGTGGTAGCCCACCTTATATCGCCCCTGAAATCCTTGCTTGTGGGCGTGCAGCAGACAAGAAGCTACCCAACGCTGCCAAGTACTCACCAGATCTGGTCGATGTTTGGTCTTGCGGTGTTATTCTATTCGTTCTTCTCGTCGGCAACACACCATGGGATGAGCCTTCACAAGGCAGCTGGGAGTTTCAGGAATATGTAAGAACATCTGGTCGCAGCACGGATGCTCTGTGGGGGAGAGTCCCAGCAGAAGCACTATCTCTACTACGAGGGATGATGAGCATTGATTCATCAAAACGCTTCAACTTTACTCAAGTGCGCCAACACCCTTGGTACACAAGACACAATGCCCTCCTCAACTCGGATGGTCGAGTCACAGATCCCATCAACTTGGCGACACAGATGCTGGAGAATCTCCGCATCGACTTCAACCACCACCCAACATCACAGCCTTCGTCGAGCGACAATATGGACATAGATACTGGCCTGAACGTCGGGAAATTCTCCTCTACCCAGCCAGAGACACCAATCGCTGATAAGGACTGGGATTGGGAGCGTCCTCCACTTCGCTCTATGGCCTCGCCAGCCTCATCACTCCCACATACTCACGATGTGAGCCGAGCAATGCTCGATACACTCGCCGACGAGCCGTCTATGTCTCAATTCTCTCAGACTCCTGGTCCTTCTATGACCCTCACCCAGCAAGCTCGCCGTTTCCGCGACATTTGTCCCCCTGAGTCACTTACTCGCTTCTTCTCGGCTGTGCCTCCGGCCCACATCATCCAGATGATTAACGATGCTCTCCACCATCTGAATGTCCCCACAACGAATATCTCGCCTAATCCACATGGCAACCCTGTCGCTAAGATAAAGGTCAAAGCACTCGACGGTCGTCAACAAAGTTTGCATGGCGAGATTCAAGTGGATCGTCAGCCTCTGCCAGACGGAACGGAGGTCCTCGACATTCGCTTCGTCAAGGTCAAGGGTGATCCTCTTGAATGGCGACGATTCTTCAAGAAGGTGGTTGTTTTGTGTAAGGATGGTGTATACGTCCCTGAGGCTTAAGAGAGGGACTGTCTTGTAAAGTTAGAACAAGACGCATTCATAGATGTCAGGATTTGACAGTAGGAACATAAAGTTCATGATCAGACACAGTCACATACATAATGCGAGAACTTGAGATACCCTCAGGCAGCAAGAAAAGTCCCGACCTTGAGGTAAGGTATCAAAAATACATAGTCTAAGGTCTACTAAGTCTTTGCTAAATTTATGTCAACGTGAGTGTTTTGTTCCACCTGGTGTATCTATCCTAAGATTTTCTGGCATCCCCTAAGATACAAACAGGATCCCGATAGTTCCTCTTTCTTAGGCATTTGCCTTGCTATACTGCTCAACCTGAAGCCCGAAATGATTGAATGTTTTCATGCCTTCATCTTCTATTCCCCAACGTCCAAGTTCCAAATACTGATTAGCATCTAATGAGTTTAGAATCTCATCCAGATCAAACTCCAAGTTTGGATATGGCTCAGTTTCAAAATTATGGATTTCTCGAGGTACTTGATGAGAGCTTTCAGCTGGTTGAGGGTCTGGACTTCTCGAGGGCGACCTGCGTCTCCTTGAGAGGGAATACCCCCCAATTTCCGGTTTTCTCTTGCCCTTACGAAAAGATTCCATAATATCTTGAAGGACATTAGTAGCGATATCGGTGATCGTTTGAGAAGTGAAGGTTTGCTCCATAAGTCCATCGACTAAATTCTCAATGCGAGGCCGCATACGTACTGAGAACTCACGTCGTGCGTAGTCCTCAAAGTTGTCCAGTAAATTCGCTCCAGCCTGCTCGATGTCTTGCTCGGGTTGCTCAATTTGCAAAGGGCAGAGTTCCGGATCTGAGACCATGTTAGGCTGTGACTTTATGGATCCAGGGGCATGGACTTACATGGAGAGGGGACAGGATCATCGTCAGGGAAGAGAATCTTGTACGTCTCAACCCATTTCTCTTCTTCAGTAACTTGTCGAGCTTTCCCACTCTTCCTCTTTCTGATGCGGAGTAGTCTCTCTTGCTCTTCGTTGATTCCTTCTTCCTCAGGCTCTTCAATTTGTCTCTGGCAGATGGTGTCCGCTCGCTGATGTTCGTTGAGGTTGAAAGCTGATTTGAGGTCTTGCCTGCATCTATTGCATCGGAACCTGGGAAGCCTATGTCGCCGATATATATGCTCTCTGGATATCCCGTTAGATATTTTCTTCAATTCAGTACCCAGGTAAGTTTGACTTACTTGACCCGATGAACAGAGGTCCAGCCCGGCCAGCAACAACTTTTCCAGTGTGATGTTTTATACCTCTCGCGATTATGCTTGAAGAAAGGACAAACATATCTGGTTTCGATATCAATGCTGCCTTTCCGCTTCTTCTGGGCCCGATCTGGTGTCTCATCATCCTCACCAAACTCATCATCAGAGTCACTTCCCTGATGCTTTCTTTTGTTTTGGCTGTTTGATGACTCTCCACTACGACCGGTTGCTGTGATCACTGGTGTAGGGCTACCACTCGAAGTAGACTGGCCGTTCTGAACCCCGTGTCTTTTGAGTGCCACCTCAAGCCACTCCTGGAGTCTCGCCATTAATTGAGCCACCAGTTGATGCTTTCTTCTCTCTGCGACTGCAGACGATGAAGAGGCTTGGTCGCTACTGCAGTACGTCTCGACACTATCCTCCGAAGTTTCTCGACTATAGCCACAGTCCGAAGGATCTGTGGAAACCGGGAGAGCGGACTGGGACTTAGGATCTGGCCCTTGAGCAAGAATATAGGGAAACTGAGATAGGTCGAGATTTTGATATTCCTCGAAAGCCTCAGTCAATTCCGCGTTCCAGGGAATGGATTCTGTAAAATCAAAGTCTTGCGACTTTAGAGGAATAGGGAAGCCCCTGAAGGCATCTTCCAATGGAGCATGAGTGCAGCTCTCAGTCGTACTTCCAGCTGAACAGAAGCATCCGCTGTCTATCGAAATACCACCAGTCGACCATGAGGTACCCGAGCTTTCTGTTCTGCACATTGGTTTGTCGTCGTCCAATTTCGACGCCTCTATACTTGGTATCTTAGGATACGTAGTTGTCGAAATCTTGTTCTTCATGGGAGGAATGGCCATCCCAAAGGAAGGAGTCAACAAACTAGCCAAGCTGCTGGTGTTTGGTGGCATAAGGTGGGAGACATTGTCTCCTTGCTTAGAGATGCCAGTAAGCTTCGAGCCTTGACGCCGTCCAACCTCGAATGTAGCTTTCTCCAAGAGCATTGCTATGATGCGGTTCTGCTGCTCTGTTAAAGGCTTCAGAGCAGCCCGCTGGTCGTTATGTCTCGAGTCAGACATGCTGCGTGTAGAGATGAGCCAAAATAGCAGTGTGCCTGGTGTTTGGAGATATAAAGAAAGATGGGACTGGGTGGGTTTTAATCGGGTTAACTAGTTCCTCACAAGTATTCAAGAAGTAGGTTCTCAGTAAATTGCTGGACAACTTTGGGGTAGTGTGCCTTATATGACTTAGTAGTTAATTCGCAATTGCGCAGGTGCCCAATGGCGGGCGAACCATACATGAGCAAAGGCACAACAAGGCAAGCGTCCTCGTCAGCCAGTCGGATGGGTTGAAAATAAGCCCATTGCTTGTTATGAGAACGGCTTTACTCTCACACAATATCGAGTATAGCCATCTGATTCGGCAGCGATAAACTAGGGGCAAACACAAGCAAATTGTACACCTTCACTACAACCAGTCTCGTTGACAGTTCAACTAGGATGAAATGATATTTTAGAATTCAAATGCCAAGTCTATCCCCCTCCGTCTATCTTATTCCGTCGGTGATCATATCATGACCCACATGGCAATACAAAGGCTCAATACATAAATCAAATTGGTATCTCAAATCCTCCTTTTCATCGTCTTCATAGGCTCGAAAAGCCTGTAAGTCACAGATCTAAACCAGAGTCCCGCAACGCCTGCACAAAGAACTGGCTGTCTAGGCGCCGCAAAAAGTTCTCGTTGATGCCCGTCATTTGAAGCCCCCCATCAAGAAATGACTGGAATTCTTGTGTCGGAGACACAATAGAGCTTGAGCCTTGACTGCCACCGTCTTTTGGTTTCTGACGACAGGACTGCATACTCTCCATGAGTGTATTGCAAGCTAGCTGGACCACCAGAGGTGCCAATGTAGGTTGCAAGTTCTTCATCTCGCCGACATTGCCTCGAAGGCGCTGCTCAAAATCAGACATGAGGTTCGTGTCAAAGTCATCATTGTTGCTCTTCTGTAAGCGATCATAGTCTGGGCATTGTTAGCAATCAGTTCTTGCAGTGTATGTGGTTGGACACTAACACGGTGTAGGCACCAGGCCTCCTCCAGGAAAGATGATCTTGTACACATCATTCCATCTCTGTTCCTCGACCTCTTTGAGATCTGCTGCAGGGTCGCATTTTCTGGCTCTTGCGTGCAGTGCCTTGGACTGGCTTGCGTTGATGCCTTCATGCTCCTGGGTGTTGCGACTCTGGACTTCGCAAGGTGCAGAGGCTCTTAAATGCCTAGAGAGCTTCAACTCGGTCTTGAAACACTGAAAGCAGCGCTGACACTCATATTCTGGGAGTGTATGACTGCGGAAGATGTGTTCCCTGGAGATATGTCAGTCGACTCCTGGATGCTTTAGGGTGAATACCACTTACTTGACTCGATGGACTGTCTCCCACCCAGGCCCGCAGCAACTTCTTGAGTTTGCATAGCGTTCTGGGTCATTCTTATAAAAGGGGCAGGCAAATCGTGGTGCCGTAGACGTCGTCTTGGATCGTTTCTTGTCCACAGACGTCCCGTCAGCTTCGTCTGTTGACGAATCATCGAGCTCAACACAGTCAAAAGCTCGCTTTTTTGACACGCCAGACACGATAATCTCTTGTTGAGGCTGATTCATCAAGTTGATTGGTGGAACTGTCTCTTCTAGACACTCAATGGGTCCTTGTCCCGGAATCGGATCCGGTACATCCTCTTCAAAGAGAACTGTGGCTTGTCGTGGCACATCCGCTGGCACCGACAACAGTGGGTTTCCATTGAATATTCCCAGAGCGCCAAACCACACATGATTTGTGGGATCAATGGGGTTGAAGTGATCCGCCTCGTCCCCAGTGACTAAGTTGCCCAACGTTGCATCATCTGCAAGGGACATACTCATTGACGATGCCGTATAGTGGCCATTGTGGTGGCCATTTGTCCGTGATGTGTAATCTGAAGCACTGTGTCGACGTTGATGTCTTCGACCCGAGCCTCGAAGTTTTGATCTGACCTTGAGCAGCAACCACAGCCACCCAAATCGTCTGATCAGGACTTTAAAGGCTTCGGTCTTAGTCGCTGGGACGAGGGTTTGTGACGATGAGCCCTGCTGAGCCCTGGGGTTTGGCCATTCACCAGCTGATAAGAAGCTTGGATGAGGACTGAAAGTGGGTTGGCTGAGAAGAGCCATGTCGTAGCTTGGGTAACCATTGGTTGAGGAACTCATAGGTAAAGGCGACTCCGAGAACCCATATTGTGGACGGACATTGGTGTTGATAGCGCTGAGACCTCCTTGCACTGCCCAGGGATAATTGGCCACTGGTCTATTATGTGTACCATCCTGAGATTGAGATTGGGCAGTGAATTCGGGTAAAGGTGTAGGGTACGAGTACATTGAGACGATGTGTTGGTACAGGAAATCGCCTTTGTTGATCTGAGGCGAAGCTTATTTATAGGCGGTAGCTTCTTGTTGGATAAACTGATTTATATTGTTGTATGGCGCTAGCCAAGGGATACTAGTTACGATAAGGTATATATAAGTGTTGTATATATATCTTCTGAACTAGGTTTCAGGTTAAATGGAAATAAGATCTCGTTTAAGGAGCCGGGAATGAAGAGAGGCGAAAATAAGATCCTGGGGGAATAAGCTCGTATTTAAATCTGGAGGCCTTTGCGCAGCTGCGCATTTGCCTGTGGTTGGTTGCGAACCAGGAGCTGAGAGGGCAGCAAGGCAACGGGACCCCTCTGAAAGTGCAACTGAACAGCCCCCAAAGTCCCTTACTTCCAAGATAAGTCTTGAGCCACAAGGGGTTGAGAGCGGCTCGTCAGTCTTGGCTTTTGAATCCTTCCAAGACAAAGGCAGCGAGTTTGTAGTGAGTACAGAGGTTATAAACCCCTGGCTTCAGAGACAATTGGACAATCGATCAAAAAGAGAGTTCAGCGAAGCTCAGATAATGGTGATAATCCGCTAAAAGAGACAAGATCTTCTCAAAGAACTCTCAAAGAGACAACAAGGACGGTCAACAGAGTTGAGAGACTGTCTTGGGGCTGTCATGGGAAGGGCCAGACTATCAAGGCTTGACTGATGGCATGGCACAGTCAGCTTGATTGAGGCTGTGGGCTCCCTCACACTAGCAGCTGAGTTGTGCATGGCTCACCAACTTGCATGTAACAGCACAACTCACAAAAGTGTGCCAATAAACCAACCAGTCAGCGGCTGAATCGATTTACCCAAGTCCATTTTAGGTATGCTTGACGCCAATTTGTATGTATGCCCTGAAAAACGCCCGACGCCTTGCATAACAACATGTACGAGCATCCTTACTCGGCCTGCGTGACTGGTTCTTTCAGTTGTTCATTCCACTCGAAGCCTGAAAACAAACGTCAGCCTGATTTGGTTGAAAGTGAAAGGGTTGGGGGCTGTACGTTGACGACACATGGGGCATTGCCCTCTCGATGAATCCTGTTTGATCCATTCCAATATGCAGTGCTAAACACAAACACCGTCACAGTCAGCACGTAAATATTCACGATAACAAAGATAGAGAGATAAGGTGAACTCGAACCATGTGAAAGTTGTGACCGCACTTCCCCGACACTGAAGTTCATCTTGCGTTAGTAGAGTCTATCTTTCTCAAGATGGTCTGATGTTTACTTACACAGGCTGCAATCGTCGCCTGGGTATTTACATGTCGGACACGTCCCGTCAAAGTGGACCTGGCAGATACCACAAACATCGTCTTCAGGTATATCCCAGCGCCAAGTAGCGACCGTATTCCACTTCTTGATGGTGACCTTCATGATGTTTTGAGGAAGAAAGTCACGGGATCGATATTGTAGAGATGAGGATTTCTGGGGCCAGGATCGAGACTCAGAGTGGCCGTGCAACCTCTGAGTGAAGAAGGGTCAAGGTTTGAAGCACTAACGTCGACGTGGGGGAGGCACATGAGCTCAGGTTGACAAGGTGAGAGGTCCAAGACTCCAACCAAGTGGATTGGGCTGTAGTGGTGGGTGGGCGCCTGTCCGTTTGGCGCTTCAGTGACCTCATCCGCTGAGGGCCACCCACTGAACAAGCTGTAGCCCGCTATAGAAACCCCTCTGGCTCCGTCATCGCCCGCCATTGGAAATAACTGATGGAGGTGGTCCAAGCTCCTCACGATTTCGCCAACCTCGCCCGCACTTGCGCGAAAGGTATCATCCATTCAAAGTTGACTCGATTGGTCGTTAACCTCTCGTCATCACCCTCACTCGCCTCACGTCAAGCATACCAGACAATTCTTTGCGGTACTATCCCGCCGACGAATGAGGACGTAGACTGACAGTTAAGCCTTTTGCTGACTGTCTTTTCCTACAGTGTCTGGCCTACGAATTTGCATTTCGTTTGGCTCTGACTCTTATCAATCGCTCAGAAACTTGCCCTACGTCAAGTCACTGAGTCCGACAAACTCCCACCACCTCTTCCTATCCGAAACACAACATCTTTACGATGGCGTCTATCTCAATCTGCCGCTCAACAAGAGCTGGGATTCCTCAATGGGGCTCCAAGGTTTTCCGACCTTCCCTGCTCACCCGCCGAAACTTCTCATCCTATCTCGTCACCCCGAAAGAGCTTCACGAAGCCCTCAAGAAGAACCCTCCGTCGCCGATCAGCACCGATCCTCGAGTAATTCCTCTCTGCGCATCATGGTTTCTCCCCAACGATGGCCGATCTGGTATCCAAACGTTTCGCGAACAGAGAATTCCCAAGGCCCGTTTCTTTGACCTAGATAAGGTCATTGACAAGCGCAGTCCCTATCCTCACATGCTTCCCAACCCCAAGGGCTTCGCTGCTGCCATGAGCGAGCTGGGTATCCGAAAAGAGGACATTGTGGTGGTGTACGACAGCAAGGAGCTTGGTATTTTCAGCGCACCCCGTGTGGGTTGGACCATGAAGGTTTTCGGCCATGACAAGGTTCACGTACTAAACAACTTCAAGCTGTGGGTGGATCAGGGCCTGCCTACCGAGTCGGGAGAACTCTACAGTATCGAGTGCTATCCTTATCAGATCCCCGAGATGGAAGAGAACCGAGTTGCAAGCTTCGAGCAGGTCAAGGAAGTCGCACAGGACCACAACAAGGAGGGCGCTGAGGGCGTCCAAATTCTCGATGCCCGACCCCATGGACGTTTCACTGGTGAATCCCCTGAGCCCCGCGAGGGTCTTTCTTCTGGTCACATTCCTGGATCTATCAACATCCCTTTCAGCTCTGTTCTGGATCCTGAAACCAAGGCTTTCCTCCCTAAAGATCAACTGAAGAAGTTGTTTGCGGAGAAGGGTGTCGACCCTCAAAAACCTATCATCTCAAGTTGTGGTACTGGTGTGACTGCCTGTGTTATTGATACTGCCCTTGAGGAGGCTGGCGTTGGTTCCCCTGAGTCCAGGAGGGTCTACGATGGCAGTTGGACGTAAGTGCCTCCTTTGAAAAGGCCATGATATGAATTATGCTAATATGTAACAGTGAGTGGGCTCAACGGGTGCAACCTTCAGAAAACTTGATTGTCAAGACAACGAAGGAGTAATGTGACTTGGTGTCTGGTCTTAAAGACGGCAGAATGCCGAGTAGTCGAGCTGCGATACCCTCATTAATGATGGCCTGTGGTGAACAGGTGTGTACGAAGAGAAGAAGAACATGGATTCCCAATTCCCCTCCGTGGTTTAGTTCAGTGTCTGGTTCAGGCGTCCGTTGAAGGACGAGAAAAATGGGTTATGTTTGTCCTCTAGCATCCCCACACTTTTGCATTGTTTTTCAGTATATATATGAGTGTGTATACGTGTGAAGCAATTGACTGATGAAATTGTCAATATTGAGTCTGAGTCTGAGTCTTAAATTGACAGTATCGGACCGGGATGTTTGTGTCGCCGATCACTCATGATGGGCGGGGTGGCTTGTTACACCGAGAATTGAACCATCCCATTTTCGGTGAGGGTCAAGGTGAAATCCACCCCCACTACATAGGTACTCTCACATCAACCACTGCCTAACAATTAAGGCACCAATTCCAGTTAGGGCTCGCTAACGTGAACGACCAAAAATTATGTGCGTTATCCACCCCACCTGACCCGGGCCAAAAAGTTCCAGTATCGCCAACACCAACAGCAGCATCTTGCTCTTGCGCAGACCACATCTTGCCTCCCACCCCCTCCAGCGCAAAACAACAAAAATCCTTCACAATGGCTGATCGTGGAGCTTCTCGCGGCGGTGGTTTCGGATCCCGAGGCGGTGATCGCGGCCGAGGACGTGGACGTGGCCGTGGTCGTGGTCGCGGCAAGAACGAGGAGAAGGAGTGGCAGCCCGTCACCAAGCTCGGTCGATTGGTCAAGGCCGGCAAGATCAACAGCATGGAGGAGATCTACCTTCACTCTCTGCCCATCAAGGAGTACCAGATTGTCGACAACTTCCTGCCCAAGCTCAAGGATGAGGTCATGAAGGTGCGAAACACAGTTCCCTGAATCTATCACACCAAGAAGCCCTAGAACGAAGCGAAAACACCAGCTCGAATAAACAACACGCAATCTTTGGAAGGGGAAATCGGCTTGCTAACTCGTCATTCACAAAATACAGATCAAGCCCGTCCAGAAGCAGACCCGTGCCGGTCAGCGAACCCGATTCAAGGCCATTGTCATCATTGGTGACTCCGAGGGCCACGTCGGTCTCGGTATCAAGACCTCCAAGGAGGTTGCTACCGCCATCCGTGCCGCTATCATCATTGCCAAGCTCAGCGTTATCCCCGTGCGACGAGGTTACTGGGGTACCAACCTTGGTCAGCCTCACTCCCTGCCCTGCAAGGAGTCTGGCAAGTGCGGTTCCGTCACCGTCCGTGTACGTACACCAACAAGAGAAGCGAATATCCCCGAAGAACAAAGAACATGGAAAAACTGACTGTTTTTATAGCTCATCCCCGCTCCCCGTGGTACTGGCCTCGTTGCCTCTCCCGCCGTCAAGCGATTCCTCCAGCTCGCCGGTGTCGAGGACGCCTACACCTCCTCCGCCGGTTCCACAAAGACCCTCGAGAACACCCTCAAGGCTACCTTTGTGGCCGTTTCCAACACCTACGGCTTCCTCACCCCCAACCTCTGGAAGGAGACCAAGCTCATCAAGAGCCCCCTGGACGAGTATGCCGACACACTGCGGGAGGGTAAGCGATACTAGAGCTAGAGCGGGAAAGTTTTATGCTGGGAGCTGGAAACTGGTGCCGCGGAGTCACGATTCCTTGTGTTTCATTGCATAGGTTGGCCGGTTAGGACACGTCGGATCTGAGGCTATGAGAAATAATGGCTTAAGGTCTGAATGAAAAAGAAATTTCATCCTTCATGATTGCTTTTTTTTGCAAAACAAACATCGATCCCCGTCCCTCATGATTTACCTGCGTGTGGTGATAGAGAATGGTGAAAATTGAAAGATTGAGCTAACGGTGCAAAACTAACTCCAAATACCCAAGTCTAGCCAAGGCAACCATACCTAACAACTAATAGAAGGGATAAAGCAATAGACCCTACTCAACAGTCGAAAAGCCGATACCAGTTACATATTTCGCTACAAACCAAACAAACTATCATTGTCTGACTCCTCGCCCTCTTCTTGCTGCTCTGGCAATCCAGACTCCGGCTCGATTACCTCCAACTCAACCGGGTAAGACTGTATTTCAGTTGTTGCTTGTCTGAGCCTCAGCCGCTTAGGCAAAGCCCCGGGCAAGCCTCGTCCCCATAGGCTGCTTGGTCCTCCCTGAGTAGTCCCAGGTTCTGCAGGGGAGACGGAGGATGGACCAGGCTCAGTCGGGAGGCTTGGGTCAATTGGTGAAGGTGCCTGGGCACTAGATGAGCGCCGTTCTGAAGATGGGCCAGCCTGAGATTCTTCCCATAGTTGTATTGCAGATTCGTCCATTTCAAGATCTTCGCTTCCAGCAGAAGAATCCTCCTCTTGAGCAGGCTCATCGTCCGAAACCTCGGGCTCGCTGCGAGGCTTGCTCATGGGAACATCACGAGGATTGACCTTGGGCAGCGCACCAGGATCCACTGGGACATTCCTACGCCCAAATAGAGCACTTAGGCGCTGAGTCCAAGTCGGTGGTTCTTCTGTCTGTATACCTACAGCAACATGTTAGCCAGGGTTTGGCGGTACATATCTCAACGCTTACCACTCTTGATGAGATCCTCGATATGCTTCTTCTGCAGAGGCGTGTCTCCAAGGAGATACTGAGAAGACCCGGTTGTAAAAGTCCGACGAGAGTCCGCTAGATCCTGGAACGTGACGGTGAACTTCTCACCAAAACCAGGGAAGCGGTAGATTCGACTTTCAGTCATGTCGGAAGCCATAGTTGTGGCTTCAGGCTGGACTTCGCCATGCGATTCTCGCTGAAGTGTAGGTAATCCAGATAAAATAGGTGATACCGGAGGGGTAGCAAATCGTACTGAGATCCGTGGCTCCTTGTTCGATCCCGGTGCCAGAGGCGAAGGAACAGGCTTGTAGAATCGCCCAGATCTGATGCTCTCAGCTGTCGATTCGCTTTGCAGATGAAGCGGCCAACGGTTAATGTCCCAAAACCGTGGTGCTTTGCCTCTGCGATCGGGATGAGCAAAGGACCAAACTGGCTCACGTCGAAGAGGGGATCGAGTCCGCAGTCCCTTTTCATCCACGCTGCGATCAATACGGTTTGGCAACAGCATGCTCTTGTTCTCATAAGCCTCGCGGAGAATCGCCTTTCGAACGACATCCACAGAAAATCTATAAGACTCATCCTGGCATCCGTAGGTGATTTCGGGGTAC